TTGACGTGAGTCGGGAGGGGAGAGGATAGACGTGTGAGATGGGATAGATTGACGTGAGTGGGGGAGGGGAGAAGGTATAGAGTGAGACTGATGGAGATCGACGTGAGTCGGGAGGGGAGAAGGTGCATAGACGTGAGATGATGGAGATTGACGTGGTGGGAGGGGAGAAGGTTGTAGACGTGAGACTGATGGAGATCGACGTGAGTGGGGAGGGGAGAAGGTATAGACGTTGAGACTGATGGAGATCGACGTGATCGGGAGGGGAGAAGGTGCATAGACGTGAGACTGATGGAGATTGACGTGAGTTGGGAGGGAGAAGGTGTAGACGTGAGACTGATGGAGATTGACGTGAGTCGGGAGGGGAGAAGGTGTAGACGTGAGAGTGATGGAGATAGACGGGAGTGGGAGGGAGAATAGACGGCGGGGAGGTGAGAGGGATTGACGGGAGAGGGGAGGAGAGATGGACGCGAATGGGGCGAGGAGATAGCCTATCTTCTCGCCCCACTTGCGTCTCTAGGTCTACGCATTCATACTATAGACTGTAGACTGTGAGAGAGGTGATAGACAAAGTATCCAGAACACGCATTTTATGCTATCGTAGTGACCACACCTGCTCTGTGAAGAAGCTGTTCTCGCCGAATACCTTGACATGTGTGATGGACTGATCTGGTACATCTACATACGTGACGGTACGATGTCTAATGAGTTGGGCCTTTGTTCAGGTCTCGGGCCTCAGCGACCCGATGCCATTCGGATGATAATGGACGAGTCGAACCGGCCTCGGCTCACCCGCGTTCAGCCGTACACCAACGGCGACAGCAACTACGAGACCGTCCACTTCATCGACATACGCAGCAACGACAGCAGCATCCTTTCCACCTCAAGTGAGATGACACACCTTCAGTGGCACAGCAATAAGTCATTTGATGAGTCGATCGTTCGACTATTTCTATTTAGTGTTAGAGCGATTTGCGATAGACTCCGCTTTGCATGAAGTGATGTGCTCGGAGTGAACTATGCTGTGAGATCGTCATCTGATACCCCGTGCACTTCCACAGTGCCTCGGACGCGGAGGCCACGTTCATGTCTGGGTGGCGCGAGGTCGGCGGGCGGCCGCCGACGACTACGATGACGCGTTCGTGATCCCCCACGAGCTGGACGAGAACCACTGGTACCTCAGCCAGGCAGAGCAGAGGGTGAGCCACCACTGGTACATACTTCAGCCAGGCAGAGCAGAGGGTGAGCCACCACTGGTACATACTTCAGCCAGGCAGAGCAGAGGGTGAGCTACGGCCCGCGCACACCCGGGGCGCTCACTGTGACGACAGTAGAGAGCTGCTCAGTTCATCAGCCAGTTTTTTTTTTTGCATCATGCATACATGTGATACAAGTATGTAGTATAATAATCGCTTGGACGATAGAGCCAGTATGACAGAGGTCGTGTTCCGAGCAGCACGGGCGGCTGACTGCCGGGTGCGGGATGTTCAGAAAGTGGCCACGGAGCGGCTGAAGATGAGTGAGCAGCTCACGGACGAGCTGCGGCACACCGTGTTCATCAACAACGAGGCGGTGCGCGTGCTGGGCGGTACCGACAGTGGAGCATCGTCGTCAAACAGCAAGGTGACGCGCGCGAGCCGCGGAGCTACGGACCTCTGCCAGTCACAGAGCCTCTGCACAAGTCACCTAAGGCTACTTTCAGATGACTTAACGCTGATCTGTGACATATCTTATGGACGAAATTGTTAGTCCGAGAAGCGCATTTTCATTTTAACTTCGTCCTCATTTTAGAATATATAGCCTTACAATTGGGTTGTGACGATATATTTATGGTGAGCTCATCTCTCCTAACCGCTCCCGGCAGTGAACGAGTCCGAGATAGACGTTCCCGAGCAGACCACCAAGGCGTACGACTACCGCAAGCACTCGACGCCCAGCCCGTGGCAGTTCGCCAACCTGAGCAGCTACTCGGTGCGCATGGCGACGCCGGCCTGCAAGTTCTGGAACGACACCACCCAGCAGTGGGCCACCAACGGCTGCAAGGTCGGCAGGACAAGCTCAGCGAGACATTGTGTGCCATTGCATTCCAATTCTGGGTATAATAGCATTAACCCTATCCTGGCGGGGGGGGGGGGCCTCAGGAGCCCCCCCTGAGGTTTTTTGGTTATTTCTCCCAAACGCGTTGAGCTAGGAAGCTCAAATTTTCTGACTTTTCCTAAAAGGCTTCTACGCAACATGTCTGAAAATTTTGAGTTGATCTGACCTCAGGTCAGGTCACCAGAGGCGGTTTGGTGACCCTACCTCAGAAAAGTTTGCAATCACGCCAGAGCTAGAGTTTTTGACCGATCAATTTCTTCTCTTCAGGGTTTAGTTAGGGTACCAGTATGTGCAATTTGTATATCTCGGAATTTGATATCGGTGACCTAAGGTCAGGTCAATTTCGCGACCTCCCCATTATAAGTCAATGGGGGAAAATCAACTCCCTGTTTTACCACTAAAACGGGTCGGAATGGCCCCATATACCATACATGACTTCATATACGATCAACCTTCACTACCTTGAGGTCTGTTTTGCTGTTGGGCAGCTGTGAGGTCATGTGACGTCATCAAAGGTCACCAAAGGTTTTTGGCCAATAACTCGTACAGGAACAAGATACAGACGCGTGGATGGTCTCATTGTGTTCAGCTCGTCAAGACGCATGGAATGATATACATGATGACCTCGAGGTCACGTGACCTGAGGTCAACCTTTGACCTTGACCTTTCGAGGTCAACATATATTATTCGATGCGGATTGACGAGAGGATCACGATGATGCCCTTAGTTTGTTCCTATCTTGACTAATTCGAAAGTTATTCGAGAAAAACTCTCTCCATATCTAGCGCCGCCATTTTGACTTTTTCGACCCCTGTGACGTCATCTTTGACCTGACCTGAAAATGACCTTAGTAAAAATTGTAGATCTTGGCCGTGCGTATCCGATGCCGTTTACCGCTTGTCGCTATCTTGATTCGTTCTCGAGATCTCAGGGGGGGGCCGAATCGGCCCCCCCCCGCCAGTTTCTTGTCCCGGCGGAGCCCGCCAGGAATAGGGTTAAAATGTAAATTATAGTCGTACTGGAGATGCTAGTTGACTCTTAGTAGGAGGTCACTTATGCATCTATGACCTATGTCGTTGACGTTCTCCGCACATTGACTGACCTCTTAATTTTGTTCCTGATCGAAACTTATTGGAAAAAATGTTCTATTTGAATGGCATAACTTGAGCAAGCCTTGCAAAAATGGAACCATAATTTACGGTGAGAATCAAGACGAGCATTGCAGCGAAATTACCGGTCGCCAGTCAGCAACACTCGGTGCAGAAACTCGCTGACACTCTGCGCTGCCTCCCTCTCCCTGGCATTTCTCAGGTGAGCCCGCTCACCAACACCCACTTCGCGCACTGCCTCTGCAACCATCTGACGGCGTTCGGCAGCGACTTCGCCGTGCCGCCCAACACCATCGACTTCGCGGCGGCCTACTCGAACCTGGGCGCCAAGCTGCGCGACAACTTCGCCGTGCTGGTGTTCGTGTGCTGCTGCGTGGCCATCTACCTGGTGCTGGTCGTCTGGGCGAGACGCATGGACCGGCGCGACGTCCAGAAGGTCAGGGAGGGGTACCAGGGGTCAGTGGGGGACAGCATTAGCCGGCGCGGCGCATGGACCGTGGCTACGTCCAGTAGGCAGACAGACTGGCCTGTTTGTTGCAGTGCACAGTGGGGATTTTCCGATCTAGCACGTATTTATTCGTAGAGGGCAAACCATAGGTAGAATTGTAGCCAGATTGTGCACAGATGTTGGCTGGTGTGTCCTGGTGAGAATTTTACCAAAATGAGAATTTTACCTGTAAATGTGCATAATCAACATAGTATAGGGGTTCAATTGGACCCCCGCTCAGCCGTTTGGCCCCTGATCAAGCTAGAGCTTCGCGGAAAAGTCAAGCGTGCCTCCTATGACGAAATTAGGCTGAATATATCTAATTTCAAAGTCCAAGGTCATAAGCTGCCTTTCCAAGTCAGTACCCAACTAAAGTTGGGAAATCGAGACCTCTTGAAACTTCGCAAAGTTAGGGTGTTACGGGGTATTTTGGGGTGCTGATCACGAATTTCATGTTAGTTTTGATCACAGACGATGTCTTTATGCATTTAGGCCAGGTCGGGTCAGGTCAGGTTAGATCAATTAGTAGGCGTCCTGCCGGCCATCCATAGAAGTGTCACCTACTACTGATAGCTTCGTAACATGGAACGAAGGCACTAGAACTACTTCGTAAATATTCAAATGGCTGCTAAAATCGAAATCAGCACCAAAAACTACCCTAGAACAAGTAAAACTCGAAAAAGTGAACCAAGGTCATCAAAAGGTCAATGACCTTGACTTGACCTTCACGTGACCTTGACACCCACCATTATGCATGGCACCAACATCATTTCACATATTTGAACGTTTAAAACCACAAAAAGACTGGAAACCGCGGATAATATGAGCTGGCATACGCCGAATCGCGATTCCGGCCAAACATGGTCTCGAGAAATATGCCACAGGTCAAAGGTCAGTTGGGTCAGAGTCATGAAATTTTTAGGTTAGATGTAAAATTGATGATCTCGAGGGTACCGAAAGTTTCGGCGCGATCGGCCGCTTTTGGCGCGAGTAATTTGCGGAAAACCAAGGGGTTTTATCCGACCCCTTCCCCCTCCCCTCCCCACAAGTGCGATGGTTAATAAGGTTACGGTATGTATAATTTACGCTTGTCATCCTATTCCTAATGAATGTGTCTCAGAAAATATGCATCATATAAATCACGATGTAAAATTATTCGCCTATGTCCGGAACATACCTATATCGTGTTGTTTGCCCTCGAGTGGGGTGTTAAGATACTCTAATGTGAATATTCCGTGTTCAGGCAAGTTTCGGCAGCCAAACTAGGCGTTGTCTTGTGCAAGAAAGTGGCGAATTCGATAGGATATATTTCGGAGTGGAAAAGTGTGGAGAACATTGTTGATTTCCTACATTTATTTAGAACACCATTCCTTCAATATGGTGTCTGTAAGGTTTTTTTGTAAAGGGCATTTTTGTGACCTTAGTAAGGTTGTGGCATACTTTCTGTTTGCCATTCCATTCCTAATAAAGGTGCCTTTCAGACGATATGCAACTTTGAGACCTCGCAAGATTAAAACCAACAGGACAGGACAATGAAATTGAGCTATACTTTCGGGCCTTGCTGAGCCCATTGAGTAATCACATGAGTGTGAACTTTGGGCGCATTTTTCCTAGTTTTGCTGTGGACATACAGATAAACAATGCCATATATGAAAATTCAGACATTTCTTAGCCCTACTGACACAAAAAATAAACAAAAATCAAAAAAAAAAATTTGAATTAATAATCGCTAGATCGGAAAAATCCCCACTGTGCAGTGGGGGGAATGATGGCCCTGTCTGTTCCAGTGGGGAGTGACGCCGCTGAGCGATAACGCCGCCGACGAGCGCTACCTGTACCAGACGGTGTTCACGGGGATGCGCGGCTCAGCCGGCACCCGGTCGCGGGTCAGTCTGGTGGTCAGCGGAGACAGGGACGACACCGGCGTCCGCCGGCTCACCGACGGAACCTCCCGGGTGAGCGGCCGCCGCCGGCCGGGCTGCAACAGTGCCTGTATCAAACTGTAAATGGCCAAATTGTCGGACTTTCAATTACCGTTGCTGTGATATGCTGTGCTTTGTCGCTAGATACGAATAAGTGTCCCATCAGCTGTTTTGGTTAGACAACTCATTCTATTTTTCCGCACTGACTTGTCCATCAGCCTCATGCATTTTAGGCGTGCCCTGTGAACTCCGACCTAACCTATCCGCCCCTCGCCACCCACCTGAACCGCGTCTTCCTGGCCGTTCGCCAGGAGCTGAGCCGCGGCTCGGTGGTGCACTTCCTGATGAGCACGTCCGGCCCGCTGGGTCACCTAGACTACATCCGCGTGTGGCACGACAACTCGGGTCCGGGCCGCCACGCCGGCTGGTACCTGGACAAGGTGGTCATCAAGGACCTGCAGACGGACGCCGTGTGAGTGGGCCGGCCGACTGGGGCTGCCGGGCGGCGGGGGTAACTGCGACAGTCGCAGCGGGGGGTAACAGCGACAGGGGTAACTGCGGCAACCACAGCGGCAGGGGGTAACACTGGAAAAGGAGAGACCCGTGGACGGGGTTAGCCGCTGTTCAAACATTTTGAATTAAAAAATAAAGGACGCTTTTTGTGGGGTCGCGAAAACTACCGCAGTTGAACAATGGGCAATTTTTGCTTGACTGGGAGGTTTTGATCATACGATTGATAAAAGTGACATATATGGTCTCATTACGAGCGAGCGAGCGCAGCGAGCGAAGCGAAGTCTTTTCAATATACGGAAAAATCTCAGTATGAGCGGCCCGGCCCGCCCCGGCCCGGCCCGGCCCGGCCTGTAACGCTTTTGAGAGGCTTATATCTCAGCAACCGCTGGACCGATTGGCCTGCGGTCTTTTTGCTGGGTAGCCCCATCCCTTCTACCCCGTATTTGACTACTTTTGATGCATTTCAGTGACCGTCGTGGCACGTGCCACGTGAAAAGTCAAGGGTGTTCAAGCAGTTTTGCAAAAGTAGTGATTTTGAGAGGCCCATATCTCAGCAGCGGCTTGAGCGATTGTCTTGCGGTCATTTTTATAGGGTAGCTGCATCCCTTCTACCAAAGGTCGGATACTCTTCATCTATGTGAGTGACCCCCACTGCACGTGCAAAATACAACAATAAGAGGGGTCAAATTTGTTCCCATTTCAGTAACTCGGTAATTACTGGGGCGATTTCACTGAAACTTGGCATACAGGTAGGCACCCACCAGGCAATGCATTCCCATGTGTTGCGGTTAGGGTGCTACTGCACGTGCGCACGTGCAGGGGGCGTTTCCAGATCTCGAGAACGGCTGGGCCGATTGCGCTCAAATTTGGTACACGGTTGGGGACCGGTTAGTAGGGTGCCGTGCAAAAGTCACTTTGGACCCCGTTTGCACGTGCGCACGTGCAGAATGCCGCTTCCAGATCTCAGGAACGGCTGGGCCGATTGCGTTCAAATTTGGTACACCGCTAGCGACCGGTTAGAAGGGTGCTTTGCACAAGCCCGTTGGAAGCACCCTCTCGCCATTCTGCACGTGCAGGGCTCACTATCTCGCTCGCTCGTTCTTCGCCCAAAAGGCGTTTTACTGGTACATTATATGGTCTCTTATACATATATGGTCTCTTATACCTACATTAGACATCGGCTATCGAGTATCCTGGATCAACGTTAGGCATTATGCGGTGTGACCTGACCTGAACTGGCCCGTTGCAGTTCGTTTTTCGTCTGTGAGCGCTGGCTGGCGGTGGATGAGGACGACGGGATGATCGAGCGGATGGTGCCGCGCTCGGGCCGCGAGGAGATCACCTCCTTCTCTCAGCTTTTCTCCAGCACCACCAAGAAAAACCTCACCGACGGACACCTGTGGTGAGCGCCGGACCCCCGCACTGTGGCGCGGCTATCACAGTCTGGGGATGTATGCTGAAAGTTGGTTTGTATTTTTAGTTTGTCTACAGCGTTTATTATCTCTTGCCACGATGTTTTTCCTTAGGTCGCACTGGACATATATTAGTTTTTATTTCGGTGATCCACATTGCAGATTCCTTGCCACGATAGATGCATGACTCCTGAGAAAAGGGGCGATAAGAAGATCGCCTTACTGTCTTACCCTCTGTGCCGCATCGCACGGACGCATTGCGGCACAGTCTACCTACCTCAGTGGTGTAAAGACATGGCAAATCCTCCTCTGTTACAACGTTTTAAATGCCTTTTTTTGCGTGCAAAACCTACTACTGAATCAGAAATAGACCCTGGCTAGCGACAAGGTAGCAGGCGAGCCTAAATTTCGATGGTCGTTCGATCCCGTCACCTGTCCGCCGACGGCGCCGCGCGTGTCGCAGGGTCTCCATCTTCGTGCGGCCGCAGCGGTCCAACTACACGCGCGTGCAGCGGCTCTCGGTCGTGATGGCGCTCATGTTCCTCACCATGTGCGTCAACGCCATGTTCTACAAGACCGAGCCGGCCACATCCAAGACGCTCAACCTCGGCTTCTTCCAATCACCACCTTCCAGATCTGGGTGAGGCTATTATAACTCATTTGGGAGGTTACGTCTATCAAACTATCAACGCTTTTATTGGGGTCATACGTTTGCTATTCACATATTGCGTTAGGTGCTTGATGCTCATATCACTTATCATTAAATTTTCACCAATAATTTTTTTTTTAAATTAATGTCGGGGCATCTCCCTGTCTCAGGTGTCGCTGATCGGCTCGGTGATCGTGCTGCCGCCGTCACTGCTGATCGACAAAATATTCCGGATGTCGCGTCCTCGCCGCAGCGCCGCCGAGCGCCGTGCCGAGCAGCAGCTGGAGCGCGTGCGGCAGACGTTCGGCGGCGCCAGGAAGGCCAAGAAGAAGCGCTCGCTGCCGCACTGGTGCGTCTACGTGGGCTGGCTGCTGGTGCTCGGCGCCGCCGGCACGTCCGCCTTCATGGTGTTCTCGTACAGGTGAGTGGCGCTGGAGGGGGTGTGGCTGTCATACTGAGCTGACATGATGGCTCGACATGTCCCTCCGTTGGAAGACGATCAGCTAATGTTGATAGATAGTAGACACCGGACTGCTATTTTAATTCTTTTTTGTCTCGATTTTCTCGTATACGGCTAACCCAAGCTCAATCATCGGTTTGGACCACAACGGCAGTCATGCTTTTTTTAATGCGTACTTATACATCTCTGACCATCCGCTCTCCCTGCCCCCTTACCCCGTGTCGGCAGTCTGCAGTGGGGCCGGGACAAGTCGCTCAGCTGGCTGAAGGCGATGCTGCTCTCCGTGGTGCAGAACGTCTGCTTCATCCAGCCGGCCAAGGTGTTCTGCGTGGCGCTCGTGTTCAGCATCCTCTGCAAGAAGCCCGACACGGAGGCCGTGGACGACGAGACCGCCCTGGAGAAGGCGCTGCCGGCCGACGACGAGCAGTTGGTTGGCGGCCGGCCGCGGTCAGGTGCGTGCTGCACGAGCGCTGCAGGGGGGGGGGGGCAGAACGGCTAAGGGGCGCTGTGAGCGGTGCAGGGGGGATGGAACGGCTAAAGGGACGCTGCGATGGGTAATTTGGCCACTGCTTAGAGCTTCACTAGAACTTTGTGAAGTGATACAACTTTCTCACACACACATTCGAACTGAGTTAGACAAAATAATGTCTAGCCTGGCGCATCTTTTTTCAGGGAGACGAAAGAAGGTGGCGGCTATCCCCATCGATCACGAAGCTTTGGCACGAGCTCGCCAAAAACGCTTGGAAGAAAAGGAGATGCTTCTCCTCATGAAACAGATGTGTACTTACATTCTGTTTTTGTTGTTTCTTCTTTTTCTAGCGCAGCAAAATCGAAATCCAAATGCATTTCTTATCAATAACAACTTGAAGAATATGCTTGTGGATTCACGATTTACGTCGGTGAGTAGTTTCAATAAATGTTGTGATTTTTTCTATTGCTATTTTAACATACGTTATATAACATTTATTTCATTTAATTAAACATTGTTTTTACGATAAACCAGTGCTTCATCGAACCCTTTTAATTTATAGGTACTTTATAAACCCACGAGTGTTTTTATTTTGGGACCTTACAAACGCCCGCTGTGGTCCCCTGCCGAGCCCCTGAGCCCCTCACGGTCCCCGTCCGGCGCAGATCTCGCTGCCGCGGCACTTTTACGCCTGGCTGAGGAGCACCTACGTGAGCTCCGTGTTCTGGGAGGAGCACTACAACGGCGATCGTCTGGCACCGGCCGACCGGCCCTTCATGGCCGACATGGTGACACTGCGCCTGGGGCCGGCCAGAATCCGCCAGGTCCGCATCCAACCCGGTCAGTGCCGACGGCGCTCTCAGCTGAGGCGGGTGTGTTTATGTTTTGAACTAAAGATAAAACTGCTGCTGATCTGTCCGCTGGCGATGCTGTAGGTGGGCTATGGTTTGTTCAAAGTCTTTACCTAGGAAATGATATGACGCAAATATTATTCGCCGGCCATTGCTCGTGTACCGAAGTGAGTGAAATGTGAATGGTGGCTCCTGTTTCCAAGTGCGGTAACATGTCTCGGTCTCCGTTTCAGACCAGTGTAGCGTCCCAGGCATCATGAGGAGCCTCCACGACGAGTGTAACGTGGAGTACTCGTGGACGAAGGAGGACAAACAGCCGTACAACGTGTCCTGGGTGCCCGTCAACGTCACCTCCAAGGAGCAGCTGGACAAGATGCAGTCTCCCTGGGTCTACAAGTCGATGATGGATCTAGACGGTGAGCAACGGTCGCAGCGAAAGATGACATGACGGAGATGATCGCTTGGTCGAGGTTGAATGTTCCACGCTCGCATACCGTCGCTTCGCTGGGTACAGAGTCTGGCACTTCGCCCGACTTCTCCCTCCTACTCCAGGGGCGCTATCCTGGGTCTGCTACCCGCCCTGACGCCTCACTCTCCTCCCACTCCAGGGGCGCCACACTGGGGTCTGCTGAACACCCCTCCCTTTCCTGCCACTCCAGGGGCGCCACACTGGGGTCTGCTGAACACCCCTCCCTCTCCCCCGCTCTAGGGGCGCCACACTGGGGTCTGCTGAACACCCCTCCTTCTCCCCCACTCCAGGGGCGCCACACTGGGGTCTGCTGAACACCCCTCCCTTTCCTGCCACTCCAGGGGCGCCACACTGGGGTCTGCTGAACACCCCTCCCTTTCCTGCCACTCCAGGGGCGCCACACTGGGGTCTGCTGAACACCCCTCCCTTTCCTGCCACTCCAGGGGCGCCACACTGGGGTCTGCTGAACACCCCTCCCTTTCCTGCCACTCCAGGGGCGCCACACTGGGGTCTGCTGAACACCCCTCCCTCTCCCCCACTCCAGGGGCGCCACACTGGGGTCTGCTGAACACCCCTCCCTCTCCCCCACTCCAGGGGCGCCACACTGGGGTCTGCTGAACACCCCTCCCTCTCCCCCACTCCAGGGGCGCCACACTGGGGTCTGCTGAACACCCCTCCCTCTCCCCCACTCCAGGGGCGCCACACTGGGGTCTGCTGAGCACCCCTCCCTTTCCTGCCACTCCAGGGGCGCCACACTGGGGTCTGCTGAACACCCCTCCCTCTCCCCCCACTCCAGGGGCGCCACACTGGGGTCTGCTGAACACGTACAACGGCGGCGGCTACCACGCCGATCTGCTCGGCTCCGGCGCGCAGACCGAGCGGCTGTTCGCCGAGCTCGAGCGGCACGGCTGGATCGACAAGTTCACCCGGGCCGTGTTCATCGAGTTCACCGTGGTGAACACGTACGTGAACCTGTTCAGCCGCGTCTCGCTGGTGGTCGAGTTCAGCAACTCGGGCAACACGTTCAACTCGTACACCATCACCACCTTCCAGCTGTTCAAGTGAGTGCCGACGGCGTCAGACATCACGCTCGGGTGTTATAGGTGATCGTTTGGGGCGGTTTTACCGAATGCGAGATTCTGTTTCAGCGACAGGCTTGCATCATTGCGATAAAGATGTCATCATCAGGTTTGATGTGACTTACATAAGCTAAACCGGCTTTTCGTGTCCGCAGCTACGTCGGTCCAGACGCCATTTGGATCATGGTATGTGAAGCCATCGTCGTCCTATTTGTCCTGTATTTTCTCGTCACCGAGATCAAGAAACTCCAAAAGGTCAGTCTGCGGGATTATTTGATGATACATGCCGATTCTGTCCTCTGATGTTTTTCTAGGAACCTGCGTGTGTTCTAGAGAGAATCTGAGGATGCTCCCGGAGCATGCCTGTCTTTGCTGTTTCTCGATCTATCCATGAACGTTTATGACACATTCCTGTCCCGACCGTTTCAGCAAAAGATGGCGTATTTCTCGGAGTTCTGGAACACCTTAGAATTCATCAAGCTCATACTGGCAATAACAAGCATTGCCATGTATGCGATGAAAAATATATATGTTCACGTCGCCCTAGGAAATCTTTTCGAAAAGCAAGGTAGGTATACAGCGCGTTTTAATAAAAGTAAAATGGACGAGGCACTATGTAGGATAATTAGAGAATCGACTCAACCTAAGATGTGTAACTGCTTCGGATACTGTACCATTGGAGATGGATTTTATGACAAAGAAAGCTGAGCACTTGAGTAAACAAATGCATGGCTACCAATTTTAGAATCTAATTGAACTGCTCTGCCCCTATTCGGTTGGTTTGTCATTGCCATACAAAAGTAAAAGAGCGTACAGTATTTGTATTTACATTCTAGAATACAAATGTGAACATTGCGGCACAAGTGTAGAAGTTCTCTTTCTATAACATCGCCCAGCACCACCAAGTCTCCTCACAAAGACCGGCTGTCAGTAGCCCCTCCTGCCCACCTCACCCGACAGGCGAGTTCATCAACATGCAGCGGATGGCTGCCTGGAACGAGACGTTCGTGTTCCTCATCGCCTTCGTCTGCTTCGTCTCCATCCTGGAGGTGATGCACCTGCTCCGCTTCAACGCCAACATGTCCATGCTGGCGCTGACGCTGAAGCGCTCCACCAAGGAGCTCGTCTACTTCTCCGTCACCTTCTGCATCACGTTCCTGGCGTTCGCCCAGTTCGCCTTCCTTGGTAAGAGCGCGGAGGCAGACGCGGCCGGAGGGACAGTGTAGACGATGGTGTAGACGGTGAAGGCGACGGTGGCGATGATGCTCAGGCGGTGAAGCAGGGCGGGGCGAAAGATGGAGAACGCCAAATACTCGCTCATTGCGGCAGCTTTGCCAACTGTCTAATGCCAATCACGCACACACAGGGACAACGTCAACTAGAACGTATGGACACACGAACACAAGTCACACCACATGTGTAATCAAAGACACGGTTGATCACGACTCTTCCAGAGTCCTCTTCTTGCGTCGGTCAGCGCTATCTCTGGTCTCCTTGACCAGCCAGCGGCAGCGATATTCCACGCGGTAGTTGGATGGGAACTGGTAGCGCACAAAGTTCCTCATGTCTCTGACCTGGTGACTGGAGAGAGGGCCCGATGGCCCTTCGGCACAGCCGATGCTGTCGTGCTGTAATCCTCCCCTGGCCTCGCGCTTTGGAGGAAGATAGACTATCATTATCATGCAAAGAGACAGCGTGAAAAGAATTGAGAACACTATGATTCCAACTGTAAGATATTGGCGTGGTTCAACTGTTTTTGTTATGAACGGGCCCGCTTCTACGTCTTTTCTTCGAGCAGAATTCATCCTCGCGTAGTATTCTCTTGACTTCCTTTCTGTTGTACGTTCTGTATATGAGAATAATGTACAGAACACAGACAATAGCTAGAATGGTTGTCACGAGAAAGTAACCAGCTTGAAGTACGGCTCCTAGTCCCATTCGTCTTTAACAACTTCCTGTGCCTGCTGCAAAAGCATTTCCCTTATGCCGCACAAAGTAATCTGTTTTCCGAAAAAAAAAAACAGGTTTGAAGTCTATGAACTCTAATATTGAATTCGTTGTCTAGGCCCTCTTCGTTATTGTCTCCATTGTCTCTGCTACCAACGGCTTGTTCCCAATGCGAAATAGCGCTGAAATAGCAGTTCTCCCGCTGAGCTCGTGGGCTTCAGGCTTGCGATACCTCCGCAACCAATTATTACATCAAAATGACGCTCATTCAACCAGAAATATAAGCGGCATTATATTTCATTCTGTTATGTGACGTGACACGCAACCAGCAGTTTCGACATACGACAATGCATACACATCCCACAATCCCACAATCACCAAACAAGTAGTTTTATCACTAATATAAAACGGACAAAAACACCGTCATCATGCCTAAGTGACGCACCTAGGCAGGCATAAAACCTCTATGAGCGGTCAGCATTGGGACGAACTTTGGAATTATTTGAGGTGTAATGTCCCAAATGTTGATGCATTGATTGCTTTGTCTATGTCTTACCTATAAATCTGGGTTTTCTGTTTCCAGCATTTGGCACCAGCATGAATTTGTACAACAACTTCATGTTTACGGTGGAAAATCTCTGCACCCATCTGCTCGGTAAGTTTTGTTACGTTGCAGTCTAATGTCTATCAGGAATTGATTGAAAAAGAAATGTTAAAAAATTCAGCGCACTTGTAATATTGCTGTGCTTATGCACAAGTGATGCATTTGATGTAATTAGCATGCATGGTTGTAACGTATTGCTACTTATTAACACGTACTTTTTACTCATTGCACGCCCTATTTTGCAAGGTACGAGGATTTATGTACGAGAACCACCCTCTATCATGCAAGATCACGACTGAGAGGCAGTGTTGAAATCTATGATAGGCGTTCGCCGTTCTGTGTACATATTACCGGTGTCTGCTGATTTTGGCAGGCGACATTGACTTTGAGACGATGTACGAGACGCACGGCGGCCTCGGCGTCTGCTTCTACCTGGCCTTTGTGCTCATCATGACGTTCATCGTGCTGAATATGTTCCTGGCCATCCTGGGCGACTCCTTCACCGACGTCAAACAGGAGCTCAAGGAGGCCCGGAACCAGTACGAGCTGCTCGACTTCTGCAAGGGCATCGTCATGGTGAGCGGCAAGTGGGAGGACTGCCCGGGAGCGGGCAGGGGAGGGGCACGGGCAGGGGAGCCTCCCTTGTGTGGACGAGGCTCGTCTAAACCGCTTCCTCTATGTGCCTGCCATTGTTTTGAGTGGATGTTTCAGTGATGTTCACTGGGAGACAGAACTGCCGGACAGCGCCCACTGGAGATCGCTGTGGTCCGTGTCTGTTCAGTCAAAGTATCTGACCGTATACCGCGTTCGGCAGGATATGCTGGGGATGCGCCGTAAGCCGGCTGCGGGTCTCGACCCCACGCTCCCCGCCGTCCCGGAGGACGATGCCGGGGCCGATGGACCGCGGGAGGAGCGGCCCGCCGCACCCCGGGAGGCCAGGAGCGCCAAGGTGGCGCCCTCCCCGGTCACCGGCGAGGCATACGTGCCGAGCACAGCGCCCTCGTTCCTCGCCCTGGGCGTGCCGGCGGCGGCCGCCTACCTCCCAGAGGGCGCCGCTGGCGGCGCAGAGGCCCGTCCGCCGGGCGCTGCGGACCTCACTCCGGTCCACCGGCTCGGCGGGGCGCCGGATGACAGCCAGCCAGCAGATCAGTGAGTTATACCTATGTTTTAATCCACCCTCATGTGAAACAGGTACATCAGAAACATGCTGTAAATGCTAAATAGTTTTACTCGTAATTATTTGACATTTTTTTTTTTGTTAAAACATGTGGTCTCGATAACGATACCTCGCAGTTGTTTATTTCAGCTAAGTCATTTTCAGTGACTAACATCACGGACACATGCACACTGTATGTTGATCACCATTCGACCTCCCATCTCCCCACCACGCAGTGTCCCAGCCAGAGAGGTGTCGGCGACTGTCCGCGGGTCCCCGGCGCCGGCGGAGGACCGGGACGGGCCGGCAGTCCGGGCTCCGGTCGAGGTGCGGGTGCACTCGCCGCCTCCGGAGCACCCCGCTGACGCTCCGGAGGGCGAGGAGGCCCCGCCGGAGGCCGCTGCTGGCGCAGAGACCCGGCCCGATACCGCAGGAGGCGCCGAGGGAGGCGCAGCCACAGCAGTTGTCGCAGAAGGTGCAGAAGACGTGGACACAGAGGCGGCGGTGGACGGTACCACAGACGGTTCTGCTGAGGCTGCCACTGCCGCCGCAGACGCCGAGGACGGCCACGCGAGGCTGGGTCGTCTCAGTGCGCGCTCCCAGCAGCTGCTCCGCCAGATCTGGCACATACCCACACCCACAGCTCAGTCCGAGTAGGACCGAGCCGCCCGTGCCGCCGCCGTCCTGCCCCCTCGCTGTGGCGGTGGCGCCGGCCGGGGCCCCTCCCCGCCCTCTGAGCTGCCCCTTCCTGATGACCCAGCCGAAACTGGTCACCGACCCGCCCCGACGGACGGCCTGAAGCACCCCGATCCCTGATGACCTGGCCGGACTTGGCCCTGCCTCCTGATTGTCCCGTCAGAGACCGGATTGTGAGAGATGTCATCTGTTAGCTCACCGACACACAGATTCCAGGCTGACAGTGATGATCCGCTCACACTGAGTTCGCCGCTGCGTGGGCGACTGTGCAAACCTGTTCGAACGAACGCTGGACGCACGTTGGTGACTGTCCATCCATACCGACCCGTGGTGCTGCGCCGGTTTTGACGGGACAAGTTGCGCCGCTGGCTGCTATTGACCGGGTCACAGTGACCTAATTACCGGCACAGTGACCCGTGACATGTCAGTAGCAGCAGCGGCGCGACACGCGTGCAGAGTTGATGCTTTAGTGGGTAGGTAAAAAGACAATAAAAATCTACAAAACAGGCTCCAGCTGGAGAGCATTGTGATAACAAAACGAGTATTGTTCCTCAGAAACCCCGAGAGGGATATATGTATATTGCAGATATATATTGAGTGCTGGGAACTGGACTATGTTAGCGCCGAACTCATTGTTGTAGTTGTTTTGTTTTCTGTCACATTACAAGTGCCTTACTAGTCAATTATCACACAAACCTCGGCCGAAACCATGTACTTACATCGGATTGTTATAACCTATGACCATTGTGAGCAATACACGAGTGAAACGCATTGATATGGGTCGTGTTATGTGTTGACAGCGAGATAATGTGCTTAAAAAAGTGAGATAACCCGCGCCCCAGTGGCGGTCTCGGCCAACTTCGCCCTAGTGAGGGGGGGCATATGTTACCACCCTGCACCCACCTCTAACTCAAAAACTAAGAGGGCTAGAAAGACGCAGTAAAAAGCAGTCGATAGCTCTTAATACGTACGTTTGAAAGTATTTCGGTCATTTTTCACCTTAGAGCAATATTGGGGTCACCAGAGGTCATCAAATGTCAAAATTTGCAAATTGTCATTATATTTTTCAGAAAACATGCCGCTATCTCAGGAAGTATGGTAGCTAGAAAAACGCATGGAATAGCAATCGATAGCTTTTGAACTCTTCTTTTGAAAAGGTCATTATCAATATTGTCCTCAGGTCAACGGTTTAGCCTCCAGAGGGCAAAAACTCCAAAAATAGCTATTTTTACGAAAAGTGTTTTTCGACAATAACTTTCGACTACAAAAAACCACGAAATTTCTTTTGCCAGAATCGTGTTCCCCTCACCGAGACGCGTCGAATGAACTATAATTTGACCTTGAAAGGTCAACTTAAAAATTTGACCTCAGGTCAAGGTCATGACCTGACCGGAAAAGGTTATGTTGCATATCAGTCGATGCGTCTCAACAAGACAAACACAATGAGACCATCCCCAGCGTTCTATCTCTTTCCAATCGCGAGTTATTGGCAAAAAACTGTTTGTAGCCTCAAATGACCTCGGATGACCTTTCTAGAGGCTATCAGCAAAAATGACACCTTGGTCATCACGAGTGGACTAAATCATTGTGATTCTGAAATATTTGGACTGTTCCTATGCGTTCACACGGATCTAGAGGCATTTTCATTTTTCTCCATTGACTTGTAATGGAAAGGTCATGCCACTGACCTGACCTTAGGTCACGGATATAAAAAAATCCGAGATATACAAATTGTAGGCTCCTATAACAGCATGCAATCCACCAAGTTTAAAACCTTTCTGACAAACACTGCAGGCTGGACATGATTGCAAACTTTTTTAAGGCTTGGTCAGTTAACTTGACCTGGTGACCTGACCTGACATGACCTGGGGTCAAAAATTTCACACATTGTCCAAAATTGATGTACCAAAAGCTACCCCTAGTGGCGCGGCGCTACGCGCCGCGGTTTTTTATTCACACGCGAAAAACGCGACAGGGTGGTAACATATACCCCCCCCCCCCCACTGGGGCGAAGGATAACCCACGCACCGACGGGGGTCCACGCCAACTTCACACCGACGGGGGGGGGGGGGGAAGCGGATACCTGCATCCCCCTGTGATATCTCGAGAACGAAGCAAGCAGACGACGTTAGGCGGCACGGGCGGACATCGATAGCAGCGCCTCTATCGGTCACTAGGGAAAGCTGGGCTGTAGGCGACGAAATACCGGCTGAGTTGTCACACGTTGAATAGGTTTATAGACATCAGTCTTGTGAAAAAGTTGAACTTTTGCCTTCAATATTTCTACAGGCAATTTTAGAAGTGTCTTCACATTGATTACAAAACCGTTTAGATTATTGTATTAACTTCAAGCCTTCCCTATTGTTCTTGATGATGCAGGAACTATTTCTAATTAGTGTTTCTAGCTTAGTAAAAGAACATATTGTGCAAACGATGATAAAAGCATAAATGGAAGATTTAAACGCAATTTTCTCTAACAATTAATGGTAAATTCTCTACACATCAAGGAAAAGGTGCATGCTAACTGGTAATGTAAAGTTCTTGGGGCCAGTTGTTTTCTTCTTTTCTTACGTCGCCCCAATGGCCGCGAATACACTTGTGATAACACCTATCGACAAATGGTAAAGGGCCTGGGATACTGGCGGCAAGGTCTACAATTTTTACCTTTTAGTGAGCTAATTTTCAGGTCAGGTAAAATGACGTCACTGTGTCAAAATAGTCAACATAGCGGTGCCAGAGGTCAAGCGAGTTTTTTCGCGCTTAACTTTTGACGTAAACCAAGCTAAGACAAAAATAAAAAAGTAAAAGTACGATCGTAATCCTCTCGTCAATCTGCATCGCAGCAGATATGTTTTGACCTCAAAAGGTCAAGGTCAAGGTTGACCTCAGGTCAGGTCAGGTCAGGTAGGTATCTCGTTTTTGTAAAGAGTTATTAGCAAAAAAAAAACGTTTGGTGACCTTTGATGACGTCACATGTGACCTTACACTTGTCCAATAGCAAATAAGACATCAAGGTTGTCAAGGTGGGTCATCAATGATGTCATTTGTGGTACCTATAATTGGCCATCACGATGCATTTTAGTGAAAAATGGGGCAATCTATTTTTCATCTTTGACTCTATAAGGGGGAGGTCAAGAAATTGACCTCACCTAACGTCATCAATAGGTATCAAGATTCGAAGATGTACCTACAAATTGTAGCTATTATAATAGTGACCATATTACATTTTGTGACTTTCAAAGGAGTCAGTCATCTACTGAAGTTCTGACGTCTGACGCAGTGACAAAGTTGCGCAAAAAAGTGATTTGAGGCCGGGTGATTCAAAGTGACCTGGTGACCTGAACTTGAAAGTTAGGAGGTTCAAAGCTGCAAACCTTGTGAAACTGATGTGGAAATATTTATGACAAATTTCTGCTTCTTCCTAAACGTCCGCTAGATTTCCGATATTCACGATAAACCCCAGGAAGGGCCGGATAACCGCCCCTCCCCGTCTGCGCGCGGGATAAATGTGCAACTGGTAATGCTTGCAATGAAGCGACTGCGTGTACATAGTAAATGTGGACAGTGCTACATAGCTTACACGGTGTAGGTACAAAACAATTAAATGCCCTCACTTTCCGTCATACAGGTATAACTCAGCGGCAGCTCCCGGCTCCAAAGCCACAAACTCAGCTTATCCGTTATCGTATTGCCTCCACAGGTTCTTTGCTGTGCCAGTCTACCTCAAAGATTCGTATCGGTATTTTGATCACTGAGATTCCACATTCGAAGGAATGTCAGGGCTTGCTGCTGCAGAATTGTACCGCAGAAGCCGAGGAACTTTAGTACGAACATCTTTCTGACAGTTGTCTCTGCTCCCATCTGACATTTCTGGGGGATCTGACATTTCGAGGGGGGTCTGTGACCCCACCCCACCCATCCCTCCCCTCCGAGTGGCTGGTCATCTGCGGTTGATCGGCTCCGAGGCCGTGGGTGTTGCCGGATGCCTGGTTCGCTGAGGTATGCATTGTGCTATCATCTGCGAACGGATGACGGCGGGTCGCCAACCGCCGAGAACGCCATATAATAACTGCGCCAGGATAACCGGAAACGTGTGGTAGGCGTAGCCAGTTATTTCGTAGCCCATTATATAACATACCTACAATTCTGAGAAGCGAAAGCGTTTGTCAGTTTGGAAACGGCGTCGGTTGGTGAACTCCCCAAGGCCCATGCGTCGTACGCACTTGGCGGACGTAGGAATTTCGGTAAATCATACGCGGCCCGATAGAACTGTTATAGCGCTCCACACCCTGGTTCGGGCTGCTTTGGATTCGTAGTTACACGAATCGAGTTTCAATATTAAACAAAAAATGGCGCCAAAAGAAAAGGTATGTTATGCAATGTGAATGACATCATAATTAGACTTAGGGCAACGCTTTGACAGTATTAGACCATTCTGCCCAAAGCAAAAGTCCCTTTGATTTTCGTGGTAATTCATGTTCAGCGCGCTTAACCTGATCTCCTAAAAGCATGGTTTCGACAACCAAAGTGTGCTATCTAGAATCACGTAATAGTGGCGCAAAAGCACTTACCTATACATAGGGGCGTGATGCGAATTCGAAGCACATTTGTTCTCGAACAAGGAACATGAATTCGCACAAATAGTTATTGTTTATCATTTCACACGTTTTGGAGAGCGATAATCCCTATCACAAAGGATGTTTCATGCTTGTAGTTACACTTATTACTTTATTACACTAAGTGAACGTTTCCTGCTTCCCCTGACGTTTCCTTTGACAAAGTGATGACTGATGCGTCAATAACGCGACAAAAACAGCACTATTATTTGGTACCTTGTCCTGATGACTGCCTCGTCAATTCAAACATTGTAACCCAGGTGTAAGCACAGTGGTTTAGGAACTCTCAGATGCGAAACAAGGGCTTATATCGACTGATATATATTTCACAGTCGGGTTTGGTCATGTCGGATCACTTCAGACACCACCACATGTCTGACGACGAGAGGCGACAGACGAAGCAGGAGAATATAAATATACATATACACACATATGGGGCACGGTTCAGCCCCGCACTCGTAACAACCAATCTAACGTAGTTATATGCGCCGAATGGCATGCCCTCGTCTCCTCGAGAAAAAGCTGTGACGAACTAGCCATGGTCATGACAATCATGTCTATAGTTGATACACGATGTGCGAGAGATCATCACAGATATGTACAAAATAAGTGTGATAACCTAAATCAACCACCGACACTAAACTCATCACAAGGATGTCAAGCGAATAAATATAGGGCAAATTATTTGGCCACTGATTAGACGACTTTGATTATTATTAACAGCTAGTTGATAATGGATTAGCTGCAGGTACAAATCAGGATGATCACTCTACTCTAAGCGCACACTTAGATCCACAAACCTCCGGCATTACCTATGTGCAGGAGCTTCCTATGCACAATAATAAGCCAATCACCCACAACTTATCTTCACCTGTCGTAGTTAGTGTCGACATCTCCTTCTATCCCAGCTCGTCGTGTACGTGTGTTAGCATCACAATCAGCCAGACCCACTCGAATATACCGCATCGACCGGCACACCAGACACCTTCCCCTGTTACCAGCCCCAGTCCGTGGACACCTCCTCATCTGGAGCCGTGCGTGTGCCGGGTCCACAGTTTCTTCACCATGTTCTGCTGACACTTGGGCGCCATCTGGGAGCAGGGGTCGGGCAGGCCCTGTGTGCGGGCCGCCTCGCCCACGGCGGCCGCCTCGTAGAAGCGCGCTCGGTCCATGTCGCCTTCTCGGCGGCGCCGCTCCATCCTGTGTGGACAGAGGGGGGGGGGGTGGGGGGTGGGTGGGGTGTCAGTGGACCCAGGGTCAGCTGGAGGGTCAGCTGGAGCGGCCATCCTGTGTGGACAGAGGGGGGGGGGGTGTCAGTGGACCCAGGGTCAGCTGGAGGGGGCGGCGGCACTGGTGGTGACTTACTGATACACTCCATCAGGACTGTGATCCGGTATTGATGAAGGGAAGACGCTACCCGACTGGAGCAAGCGTTCACATGTTCAAAACATTCAACATGCATAGCTGCTGATACTTGAGCCATGTGCATAACAGCCACTGAACGGCATTCAGCATTGCCAGCATTGGCGATTCGCATATCATAAGAGCAGTGCTTTTGAGCGACGCTTTTCCGTTGGCGGGAACCCTCATTCATGCGATATTTAGAAATGAAATGGGATATCATATAGGCAATCAAAGCGATCCTGTTCGGAGGACACTGTTCAGTATTCGTCGATAGGTCAGCGCAGTCACTGACTGCAGGACAACAGACAAATGGTGGCACGAATCAGGTGAAAGTGAGGCCGAAACTCCATGAAATTCCGACGAGCCAGACGACTGTTGCTATGTTTCCGGCTGGGGATTTCGCTAAGAGGCTTGACGATCAGCACTGGGGAGAAAGTGGATCTGCGGCCGACGCAGCGCGATCTGCATGCCTGTCTGGTCTGCGGGCGCCTGCATAGTTGAGCAGTGGCCTGCAGAGGGCACGGTCAGACCTGGTACCGGTACTGGGCGGGGCTGTACTCTGGCCACCCAGCCCCGGCCCGGGGGACCGTCTGGTACCGGTACTGGGGGGGGGGGGGAAGCACCTCCCGGCCCGGGGGACCGTCTGGTACCGGTACTAGGCGGGGGCCGCACCACCCAGACCCGGCCCGGTCGGTCGGCAGTAGTGGGGGCGCGGTCCCGGCGGACGGACTCCCCGGCGCGGCGCGGCGGTCGGAACTCACCCGAAGACGTGCAGGATGAGTTTCTCCTCCAGGGTGCGCTCCTCGGGACTGAGCCGGCTGCTGTAGTACTCGCACTCGCACACCAGTCGCCGGAAGCAGCCGTACGTGTCGAAATGAGTGGCTATCTGGGGACGCACGGCGGGGGCGGGGTCAGACGGGGCGCGCAGTGACGGTCCAGCGGACACCCAGCGGGGATTGTTGGGGGCGGCGCCGCTCAGCGTTAGCTTTATGAGAGATAGGTCAGGGAGAAGGGATAGACCAGCGACAGGCACGCATTACTGCACTGGTCAATGGTCATTCGGACAATATGTCTTCAAATCGCTCCTTTACATTCAATAACACTACTATTGTGTGAGGTTTTACATTCTAAACGGTGCACATTTCCTGGAAACGAGGCTGTTAAGCGGCGAACAGTTATGCTACAGCTTACATGCATGCAACTTAATAGCATGCGGAAGCTACGGGCCTTCTGGTTTGCTGAGCTGACCAGTTTGTGACGTCATACAACATTCAATTTCCCATTGTATGCGCGGAATCATGCGCACGTTTGATGATAAGTCACGCACTTAGACGAGCAGCCTTCCTGAAATAACGGCACTTACATACAAGATATTCAAAAACGTTCGACGCTTGGAACATCCGTGGTCCGTATGAAATCACGCAAAGACTGTCCTTTAATTCAGGAGACATGTAAGGCCTTATTATCTATCGTTCATCATTACCTGTTTTAGCTAAATTGTTATCATTTTTTTCATATGCAGGACATGCCTATCGGTAAGCATGGCATGCTGCATGTAGTCGTGCTACCAATGAAATCGCTAGCGGATCGTTCCAGCATAAGATATATCAGCTCCGTGCGTTATATCGCCCTCACGGCTAAAGGAATGAACGAAGTAAAAGGCGACTCAAATGACCATTTTGAAAAGCGATGCGTGATCTATTCTCTGCGATTCAGAATCGAGAAAAATACTTCTTCAACCACTTATGTTTAAAACACTCGTTAACTATGTTCAAAATGTTCATATATTTTTTTGCCGTCTTGCCCTTATCTAAATCTCTGTCGATCGCTTCCGTTGATCTCAGGTGCAGATGAATAGATTATAAAGCCGTGATTCCACTCATTTACTCTTCCCATGACAGTATACGCCCATGCAGTCACACATAAGTGACTTACCTTGACGAGCAGCTCGGTGTTTTTCATGTAGTTGTGCGCCTTCTCTTCCTCGGTGATGTTTTCGTCGACGTCGATCTGCTGGGCGGTGGCGTTGACCAGCGCCGGCGGCGGGGCCACCCGTTCCGGGAGCGGGCTACTGCCCTCGGCAGAGACCGCGTCGGCCGGCTCCGGCGGGCTGAGCGCCGGGCTCGGGTCGGTACGCCGGCCCGCCGGCTGGCCGCGGTACGGCCCGGCGCCGGGCCGGCCGCGGTAGTAGGAGCTCGGCGCGTAGTAGGAACTCGGCGGGCCGTGGGGGTTTCTGCGGTAGGGACTCGGCGGTCCGTGGGGGTTTCCGTAGTAGGAGCTGCCGCCGCGGCGGGGGCCGCCAGCGGGGTAGGGCGGATAGGCGGGGGCGGGGCGGAAGGAGCTACCTCCGCGGTACGTGTCGCTCCTCTGGCGGTACGTGTCGCTCCTCTGGCGGGTGTGGTACTGGTACGTGTCGCTCCTCTGGCGGGTGTGGTACTGGTCCAGCCGGCTGTGGTGGAAGCGCCGCAGGTCGGAGGAAGGTTCGGAGTAGGGCCGGTTCCACGTCCAGTCCCAGTAGTACGGCCTGCCGACACACCGATATACCTACCGTGAGAGTCGTCACACCACACGGACAGAGCGGGGGGGAGGGGTGGCGTCACAAACATAGCACAGGGACAGAGCGAGAGATAGTGGTCATATCACAGACATAACACACGGACAGGCCGCGGGAGATAGGCGTCATATCGCAGATAGTAGGGGAAGTTGGGGCAATGCCGGAGTTGGGGCAAAGCCGAAATTCGAGATATTTCGAAAACCGTAAGACATGGATGCCACCTGTCAGTGATGCTCTGAAGCTTAAGTGACTACAATTATCGCATGTTTGTTACGAGTCGTCATTCGGAATACTTCGACTGTGAGGGCGCCAAGAGCGTTTTCAAGGTACGTTTCCCTTGTACTACATGCGCCTTTGAAGCTGCATTTCTTACTCATTATGCTACCGTTTGTCTGGCCAATTCGGTCAAGTAATCTTTAGCATGTCTTTGCATAAGTGTGCTGCCTATTTGAAATTTATACAGCACGTTGAAAAGTTATGGGCCTGCAAATGAAAGTATGGCAGGCTGGGGTAATGCCGAAAACGTGCGATTACGCACGTGTTAAAAGCACGCTACGTGGACTTTACTGCTGTAGAATAGCAACGCGTATTTTTAGTCACACAAATTACACTTTTCAACCGACACAACGGCCTGTTACCTAAAAGGAATGATTTACCAGGCATGTTCTTATTATATCACACAATTATAACTTCCAGTGTGCACCACGTCCTCAAGCTCTTAAAACGCGTGTCAGCTTTGATCAATTCTGGATAAAGTTTGAGATAAAATGGCAAAACATCAATGTCGGCATTCCCCGTAGATCATTTCTCCCATTTTCGGCTTTCCCCGCAGTCCGGGGCAACGCCGAAAAAGTCACTTCTTTGATATTTTTAGTTTGTGCGCTTAACGGTATGCGAATTCATCAAATGCGCCTGGTATGTTTGAAAGGCAAAAGACTGGCCTCTCGAATGACGCCAACAAGAATAGCTTATGTTGTCTACCTTGCGTGCTACGGGCGTCAGAAAAAAAGTCTTCGGCGTTCCCCCAACTTCCCCTATATACAACACAGGAACAGAGTGGGGTAGGGGGGGGGGAGGAGGGACACAGACATAACACACGGACAGGCCGCGGGAGATAGTCGTTATATCGCAGATAGTATAACACAGGGACAGAGCGGGATGGGGGGAGGAGGGTTACAGACATAACACACAGTCAGAGCGAGAGATAGTCGTCATATCACAGATATGAAACACAGACAGGGCGGCAGATAGGCGTCATATCGCTGACACAGTCATCCTCTAGCAGTGCGTGCAAAAGTCACATTGTGAGGTGTTTGTGACGAATGTGACGCTTCGTTACAGAAGCAGCGCAGTATCTGCAGAGCGGGTGGGTGACTCGGTCACATATCAGTTGTGCCGCTCTAGGACAGCAATGTCTCAAATCGGCCCTCGAAGCCGAGTGCGCGGCCAATAATGACAAAGGGAGAACAGCCGAATGTGCGAGGCTCGTGTGTGGCGCACATCCCCCTCAGGACTCTCTAAGACTTTGAATAATGCAGCGCAACACAAACATTCATTACTCAGTCGCCGGAAATAAATTGGTGCGTACCTAGGGCAGCAGCAGCAGCAGCAGTAAAAACTAATAGGCAGTCTAGTGGAGCGCACATTGCAAACCTAAGGTCAACGGTCACATTAACCCTATTAGTGGCAGGGGGGGGGGGGGGGTTGTTTTTATCCACCCCTCAGGTTTTTCGGGAATATCTCCGAAACCGCTGAAGCTACGATGCTGAAATTTTCTGACTTTTCCTAAAACTAAATTGGGCACATTCCCTGAAAATTTCAAGTTCATAACTTTACCAGGGGCGGCTCCAGAGCACTGGGAATTGGGGGGTCCTATTCGTGAAGCGAGTCATTTGGGCGAAGATCACGATGCTGCACCAGTTTTACGAACAGTGAATGAAAGGTATCATGTGATAACATATACAAAGTTATTGTGCATCCTCTTTTGACACGTTTTTGCTATAATAGGCGGATCCAGGCGTCCAAAAAGGGGGGTTATTTTTTACCTCCCAACATAGGTGCCCTGACACCGCCTATGCATGACCAATGCAATTTTAGTCGTTCTCTCATAAGAAAATTGTAACATAACAAGACCATTGCCACCCTTTTTAGAAACAGTACCAACAAAAACCTTATTTACTATACTTTTTGTGTACCCCCAATCTCAATGATCTGTATCCGCCTATGATTTTTGAAAATGCATATTTTTAGGATCCATGTGAATTCCTGGTTCATTCTCTATCGATCGGCAAAAGTTGCGTTAAGATTGGTTCAGAAACCTGGCCGTGATAAACAGTCTAAAATATATCTGCAATTTGCCCGTTTTTACCCCCCTCTACCCCCCTATTGACATTTTTAATTTTTTTTTTTTAGAAATGTAGATCTCGTTGAGCCAAATCGAATGCCGTTTGAATTTTGAAAATCGGCCGGTTAGATCTCGAGATATCAAGGGGGGGTCGTAAACAGCCCCCCCCTGCCACTAATATGGGGTAGCCAGGAGCCTGCCACTAATAGGGTTAAAGGCAGCGGCGATGCAGAGGCACGGTTCCTGCGACCGCCACACAGACTTACAGCTTGGAAAAGCTACAATAAATGAGCCATTCTCACAGATAATCTGAAATTTCACATCTTTGAACTCAGTTAGCTGTGTGAATATACGCCAGTCAAGTGTTCCCTGACCGCCAGTTGATATTGTGTGCGGCGTACGTAGGTGTGCTTATCTATGAGGAAATATTTGTGACTGGTTTGATTGACTAAACGTAGTAGATGTCTTGTCCTGAGCGGCGAGTCCCCCTCTCCCACTAACCTGGACCGCCAGGCCGTCCCCTCCCACTGACCTGGGCTGCCAGGCCGTCCCCTCCCACTGACCTCGGCTGCCGGGTCGTCCCCTCCCACTGACCTCGGCTGCCGGGTCGTCCCCTCCCACTGACCTGGGCTGCCGGGTGGTGACCTCCCACTGACCTGGGTTGCCAGGCCGTCCCCTCCCACTGACCTGGGCTGCCAGGTCGCCCCCCACTGACCTGGGTTGCCAGGTCGCCCCCCTCCCACTGACCTGGGCTGCCAGGTGGCTCTCCGTCTCCCAATTGGTGGCCGGTCGCGGCGCCGGGAGGGCGCCGATCCGAAGAAGAAGCCGTCGGACGCCGGCGCCAGGAACGCCGTCATCACTAGGAGTGACGTCCACTGCATGGCCGTCGGAAGTTTTGTCGCTGTTCTGTCACGGGGATCCTTGAAGCTTGAATCTGGAATGAAATGAAATAATTTGTTATTATGCAAATACAGACGTCGATAAGACATCTATGCTGCAGCCTGATGTGATTTTTTTGGGAGAGCTATTTCACAGATCTCTATTTAAATGGGTTAGTAATAAAACCTAACATCAAGAACGGCTCAGCCTTCTGACTGACGAGTGAAAAAAGTCTATTAGTCGATTTCTTTCCAAGCCGTGTCAAATCAGTAAATAGCTGTTGTTTCCGATCAGGTTTTCGCACCACATTGCGCTGTTTTCACCGGCCCTGACTGTTTGGTAGTGTGGTTATGTAATGGACGGCTTTATCATGTAACTTTCGCGGTGGTTCTCTCCAACTGACCGAGGTGTTCCGTGTGCTACCATTTAACTTGATTATTATAGTCGCAAAGAAACATCTACCTGTACCACATATGCAGGTGTTTTCGAGCGTGTAACACAAAAAAATTTAAGTGATAAAAATAGGAAGTGAGAGCATCTGTCCTTGGAAAATTGGCGGACGATGGGACACTCCAGCCATTTAGCTCTGATAATCTGTTTGCTACTGACATTGAAAGAAAATAGTTGACATGATTTGGCCTTGATTTTCCCACCGCATAACACAAACAACGCGACCAAAAACAAAGACATAAGCCGAATAGCCTAGAACTTGTCTTAGATAGAAGGGTCTCCTGGAATCGGGGTTGGCATTACGGATGTAACAGTACGAAAAATACGAGTAGACTGAGGTTGGCTGTAGAGAGTGTCATTCTGCACACGTTGACGCCAACAGAAGGGCAACTACAAATGGACGATGTCGCAAAAACATTAGCACCGTGTCAGTCATTATATAATACCGTTCTTCCCTTCCTTCCGAGCACCATTCTTCAATGATCAAGACAATATTCATATTTCAAATATAATACCAAAAACGTTGTCCCTTCCAACTGCCGAATCTTCATTTTCTTGATTTGGTAAGACAGCTAAGACTAACATAGGTCAAGAAACACTGATGGAGCTTAACAATTGCTCATGTATGGTTCAGAAGTAAGATTTCATATTGCATCTCAAATCACTGATCTGGCTTCCAAAGAGCTTTCAATGTCCAAATGGCCAAGGTGTTCACACGAAAATGCCAGCCTATTCGATAAAGTCATGGCCATCCATTGTTCCATAATCGTCAGTGTCACACTTAAACACACTGCAGAGGTGATGTCAATGTCACCGTGAAAGCAAAAGAGCGGCTGCAAGTTCCAGTTCATTATGTTTTGACCTATAGCAACTAGCAGATCACGCAACATGCCTACATAATTGTCATTCCGTTTCCTTCGACATGACTTTCCCCGAGACTTATGCTCACAATCGCCATGACACATAAGCGGTGAGATTTGCTGTCACAACACACTACTCAGTCATAGGACCTTATAGGGTAACGAACGAGAAAGGTGTAAGACATATTTTACCCCACTATTATAGTCATTATTCTGAGCTATTGATAAAATCCGCCGTTCTTACGACGGGACGGAGGGTCAGATGAAGTCGTCCAGGTTTGTTGAATCCGGCGCGTCGCGACCAGCGGAGCGTGCAGTTCTCTGAGCTGCGACACCGGAACGCGGCGGTCACCGGTCAGAGGGGCCGCCGGCCGACCGGTCCGGCAGCGTATACTGATCGCGGCCGGGGACCCGTCACCGGGTCAGTGTGGGAGCAGCCGGCACGACGCCACACACACCTGAACTGTCTCACCAGCGGCGCGCACAGACTCCCGCAGTAACTACTATAGTCCAGCTGCTCTTACGTTGCAATGAATGTACCTACAATGTTTTGCATTATTACCACTCGTGTGATTTTCATTGTGATGAAGCACTATCTGAGATGATAGTGCAATATTCAGTTGCCGATGCTGTCTTAGCTATAGGCGCTGTATCAAACCAGGCATTAGTGTCCGCAAATGGTAAGACACGGCTCCGGAACTCCAAACGTTCTAGAGGACCAGAACTGCAGCGCTGCTACCGTGAGTGTGATGAAATTTACAGCTCCTGGTCTCCGGCCACGCACTCGGTAGCTGGAATCCTCAAACCCGTCCATTTCCGGGGCGCCAGTGTCGGGCGCGGATGAGTGGCCACCGGTGGATCGGGTCGGGTCGGGTCGGGTCGGCGGATCAGCGAGGAGCCGGCACAAACAGGTTACCACCGTGAGTGAAACTGGCTGACCGCCGCTGACCGAGTGACGGACGGCGGACGGCGGAGGTGCGGGGACTGGGACGCCGCCGGCGGCGACCCACTTTGGCGGCGGCCGGTCCGCGGCACACTCAGCGGTCAGTCCAGCTGCAGGGGGGGGGGGGGGGGCGCCGACACATGTGTCACCGCCGGGACGTCCGGGTGTTTACTGAGATGCCGTTTGTTATCGGCTCTCCGCTGGCGCCGTATGTTTGGCTCGGCGTTATCGGTAACAGCGCGGCGCTGCTCCGATTCGTGTCGAGCTCTATCGGTACCGAAGTTGACTGAGCGCGCACTCAGTGGTATGTGTGAGTGAAAGGGCTGGAAGAGGATTAAGATCGGCTCCAGAAGCAGCGGGAATGAGGATGTAGGATAGGAGAGAAAGGGCAAAAGATAGTAGATGGGACGGAATACGCAAGATACGGAGTGGAAGAAGAAATGTGGGAGACCGAAAATAGGAAAATACATGTACGGGATGTAGTTAGTATCTGATACTCGTATGTATAGCGGGAAACCTAGAGAAGGAAATGGGGAACAGAGTATGTGGGAACGCTGACGAAGGAAAATAAAGGCTGAGAGACATGACAGGGCGCGAGGCCCGCGTGTCTACAGGGCCCGCTGCAGCCCGGACCGGCGCGCGGTCCAGGCAGGCCGACCGGTGATGGCAGCAGGCGCGGGACAATGGCCCCAAACAGCGGCGGATGGAGGCTGCAGCTGGCCCTGCACGCACACTGCACCTCAGGGAGGAGCCGCGCAACGAACAGGAAATTCCGGAAAACAGAGGTGAAATGAAGGTCAGATAAGTGAACGGTTACGTCAATATCACGTGTCTGTTATTCATTTTACCTACTCTTGGTCCAGGAGCCTAAACATGTACAATATGGGAAGACATGAACAATATGCGCTTTTTTATGCCGATGGTCTAAATTGCTAAAGAACGAATGGCATGGTCACAAGAATCGCGTTTTAATATATTCTCGCTCAATTCAATAAGTGTTGGCGAAAATGAGAATAAATTGACTGATGAAAAGTCAGTGCTATCCCGGGAAACTAGTATTCAAAGCTAAACACAAAGCACAGTAGGTACTCTTGAACACTACACCTTTACGTCTTGCTATCAGATAAAATGACTCGGTATGAGAGTCGCAAAGCTCTGCGCGTACTTCTAGATAATATGTGTTCCCTCCCGTCATCTCCTTTCGGTGATAGTCCCCCTCATTCACCTGGAGCCAACAGTGAGTATATAAAATGATCAGCGACGATAGGTATGCTCCGAAAACAAACACATGCACAACTTCTTTAGAAAATACTTCGATAAAAGGTAACTTTTCTTCATGAAGCGTAATTGGTTAGATTTTAGTACTTACGCGCTCAAATCTTGCAAATAGGAATGTACCTAATCAGTACTGACAGGAAGCATGAATGATTACCTATCTGATGTCAAATATTTTTAGTTTTTACTTAAATGAGCAACTGGACCACAAGCCGGAAGCGTCATCGGAATGGCATCACACATGCAGTTAGATAATAGGAAGCAGGTCAACGGTTAGACACTAGCAAGAAATACATGCGTGACCACTTTCTATACGACACGGCTTTAATGCCTCTTGCGCTCTCGAGACCTCTGCTCGCTACAAAAGAAGACAGCTCTGTGAAGTAATAAACTGCTTACTGGGTTACCACAGAAACTTACTACAGCTAATAGGGCGCAAATCGGCTGCACTTTCCTGCCATCAGCGGCTCGGTTACCAGTGACGTCACTGAGAGGATCAGCGAAGAGGACGGCCTCAGTATCGTCCGTCGCGTCGTTCACCGTTAGTATCAATACAGATTACAATCACTCGCAGCTTTTTTTAATTAACTTATTGTGTGATGCCTCACTTAGTCTCTCGGGCGTTGACACTGTAATCTGTAACACTTTCAGATCAAACTTGACCTGTTGGAGCTGTTACAATGTGTGCCATTGCAGTTTCCCAGTTGTTGGTGTTATTGTGCTGTGTGCTACTGCAGTCTCCGGTCCCTGGTGTTACCACAATGTTCTGCGTTGCAGTCTCCCAGTTGTTGGTGTTACTGTGCTATGTGCTACTGCAGTCTCCGGTCCCTGGTGTTACCACAATACTCTCTGTTGCAGTCTCCCAGCTGTTGGTGTTACTGTGCTATATGCTACTGCAGTCTCCGGTCCCTGGTGTTACCACAATGTTCTCCGTTGCAGTCTCCCAGTTGTTGGTGTTACTGTGCTATATGCTACTGCAGTCTCCGGTCCCTGGTGTTACCACAATACTCTCTGTTGCAGTCTCCCAGCTGTTGGTGTTACTGTGCTATATGCTACAGCAGTCTCCGGTCCCCGTTGTTACCACAATACTCTCCGTCAGGGCTGCGGAGTCGGAGTCGGAGTCGGTTGGAGTCGACAGTTGTGACCGGAGTCGGAGTCGGAGTCGGAGTCGATTTTAGAAACCCGGGCCGGAGTCGGAGTCGGAGTCACCGAAAATCTGTCGACTCCGCAGCCCTGCTAGGTCTGCGGAGTCGGAGTCGGGAGTTGGAGTCGGTCGGAGTCGACAATTCTGCCCGGAGTCGGAGTCGGAGCTGGTTTTTGAAAGCCGGAGTCGGAGTCGGAGTCGGAGTCGCCGAAAATCCATCGACTCCGCAGCCCTGCTCTCCGTTGCAGTCTCCCAGTTGTTGGTGTTACTGTGCTATATGCTACTGCAGTCTCCGGTCCCTGGTGTTACCACAGTGTTCTCTGTTGCAGTCTCCCAGTTACTGGTTACGAGCGAGCGAGCGCAGCGAGCGAAGCAAGGTCTTTTCAATATAACTCGGAAAAATCTCAGTATGAGCGGCCCGGCCCGGTCCGGCCTGTAACGCTTTTGAGAGGCTTATATCTCAGCAACCACTGGACCGACTGGCCTGCGGTCTTTTTTGCTGGGCAGCCCTATGCCTTCTATCCCGTAATTGACTACTTTTGATACATCTCAGTGACCGTCGTAGCACGTGCCACGTGAAAAGTCAAGGGTGTCCATTGTCCAATGTCCAAGCTGTTTTGCAAAAGTAGTGATTTTGAAACGCTCATATCTCAGCAGCCGCTTGCGGGCGATTGTCTTGCGGTAATTTTTGTAGGGTAGCTGCATCCGGCATCCCTTCTACCAAAGGTCGGATACTCTTGATCTATGTGAGTGACCCCCACTGCACGTGCAAAATGCAAAAAGAAGAGGTGTCAAATTTGTTCCCATTTAAATAACTCGGTAATTACTCGGGCGATTTCGCTGAAACTTGGCATACAGGTAGGCACCCACCAGGCAATCATGCATTCCCATGTGTTGCAGTTAGGGTGCTACTGCACGTGCGCACGTGCAGGGGGCGCTTCCAGATCTCGAGAACTGCTGGGCCGATTGCGCTCAAACTTGGTACACGGTTGGGGACCGGTTAGTAAGATGCCGTGCAAAAGTCAGTTTGGACCCCGTTTGTATGTGCGCACGTGCAGAATGCTGCTTCCAGCTCTCAGGAACAGCTGGGCCGATTGCGCTCAAATTTAGCAAACCGCTAGCGACCGGTTAAAAGGGTGCTTTGCACAAGCCCCGTTGGAGGTACCCTCTCGCCTTTCCGCACGTGCAGGGCTCTCTCGCTCGCTCGTTCTTCGCCCAAAAGGCGTTTTACTGGTGTTATTGTGCTGTGTGCTACTGCAGTCTCCGGTCCCTGGTGTTACCACAATGTTCTCCGTTGCAGTCTCCCAGTTGTTGGTGTTACTGTGCTATATGCTACTGCAGTCTCCGGTCCCTGGTGTTACCACAATGTTCTCCGTTGCAGTCTCAAAGTTGTTGGTGTTACTGTGCTATATGCTACTGCAGTCTCCGGTCCCTGGTGTTACCACAATGCTCTCCGTTGCAGTCTCCCAGTTGTTGGTGTTACTGTGCTATGTGCTACAGCAGTCTCCGGTCCCCGGTGTTACCACAATACTCTCTGTTGCAGTCTCCCAGTTGTTGGTGTCACTGTGCTATATGCTACTGCCGTCTCGGGTCCCTGGTGTTACCACAGTGTTCTCCGTTGCAGTCTCCCAGTTGTTGTTGTTACTGTGCTATATGCTTCTGCAGTCTCCGGTCCCTGGTGTTACCACAATGCTCTCCGCTGCAGTCTCCCAGTTGTTGGTGTTACTGTGCTATATGCTACTGCAGTCTCCGGTCCCTGGTGTTACCACAATGCTCTCCGTTGCAGTCTCCCAGTTGTTGGTGTTACTGTGCTATATGCTACTGCAGTCTCCGGTCCCTGGTGTTACCACAATGCTCTCCGTTGCAGTCTCCCAGTTGTTGGTGTTACTGTGCTATATGCTACTGCAGTCTCCGGTCCCTGGTGTTACCACAATGCTCTCCGTTGCAGTCTCAAAGTTGTTGGTGTTACTGTGCTATATGCTACTGCAGTCTCCGGTCCCTGGTGTTACCACAATGCTCTCCGTTGCAGTCTCCCAGTTGTTGGTGTTACTGTGCTGTGTGCTAATGCAGTCTCCGGTCCCTGGTGAATGCTCTCCGTTGCAGTCTCCCAGTTGTTGGTGTTACTGTGCTATATGCTACTGCAGTCTCCGGTCCCTGGTGTTACCACAATGTTCTGCGTTGCAGTCTCCCAGTTGTTGGTGTTACTGTGCTATGTACGGCCCTTCAGCTATTAACCCGCGCCCCGTTGGGCTCTGCCGAGCAACGCGCCCCTTTGGGGGGGGGGCATTTTGGCCCCCCTAAGATCTCGAGAACCACGCAACCTAGCGACAAGCGGCAAGCGGTGTTGGATAGCCCTATCAGGGAACTACCTTGTGACCCAATTTTATTGACCTAGGTCAAACCGATGACGTCACAGGTCAGGTCAAAGGTCCAATTTTCACCGTTTACAGGCATTTCAAGAAATGCGTTGTAAAATCGAGTAAAATGCATTTCATTGAAAATCATCGATGAGGAAATGTTCTTCAAACACATACTTTGCTACTTGAGGTCACTGATACCAGGTCAGGTCACAGAGGTCAGGTCACTGGGGGGTCACAATATGAAAGTGTCGTGTGATACATGTTTTATGGTCCATTTTACATGACAAATGCGATTATGTGGGTCAGGCAGCCTTTGGGGCCAGCTTAGGTCACGTTTTGGTCGAGGTCAGGTCAAGGTCAGGTCAAGGTCAGGTCAAGGTCAGGTCAAATTAGGCCAAATTTCAAAGTTGATATTTTGCATAAAATGGGCATCGAATCGATGCAGCTCGTCACGGGGAGTTCAATGGTGGTCTTTGTTTTGCCGTACAAGGTCTAGAATCGCTAAAAATTGAGTTCAAAAATTTTATTTCATCATTTTTGAACAGTTTTTTTTTTTTTTGCTATAACTTGGCCAAAAACGAGATATCGATCTGAAATTTTGTATGTATATAGAAGAGCGCAGGGACTATCACACATATTCCGTTTTTTCGAAGTTCGGAAAAAATTGTTTTTTTAGTGTTTCTAAAAAAATCAATTTTTTGAAAAATTTTGGGTCAAAAACCCACAATTTTGAAAATCCGAGATAGCAGTTTTGTAGCGCCGCGTTTTGTCTACTAGACCATATAAAGAACTTTGAAATTGCTTGATAACTGTAGATTTGGTGAGCGTTTCAAGATTGCATGTTTTTTGCTCATTTTTGCTCGAACATGACCTCAGTTTGACCTCAATAACTCCTGACCTAAGGTGACCTAAGACTTGAAATTTGGTGTGAAGGTGTCAAATTGATGCCCGGGAAGGTACTGAAAATTTGGCGGCGCTGCGCGCCGCCGTTTTCTTGCTATTCAGGAAAAACCACAGGGGGGGCCAAAATGCCCCCCCAACGGGGCGAGGGTTAAGTGGTTGGTTGCCAACATCACAATAATCGATCTGCACTGATGAAATGTGTGCACGAGCCCTCTTCTCATTTGTATTGAGTCATTTTACATGAGTCTCCGTCATTTAAAGTCATTACACCAAAATCACATAGGCTAACCAACCACTGTTTTGCTGGAGGGCCGTACTACTGCAGTTATTGTCATTTTTATACAGAACACTCGTTCATCCCAAACGAGCAGTTCGTCAACAAACTAAGTAACCGGGGCCGTTCCCGGGTACCGCCTTTGTGCGGCGGCGGCTCACCGTATGCGGGCCGCTCCCAGGTACCGCCTTTGTGCGGCGGCGGCTCACCGTATGCGGGTCGGCGTGGAGGACCGCTCTCTCTCTCTCTGGGACGACTGGCAGACACACCGGTTCGTAGCACGTTCCGCGTGATACTGGCGACCGAGTGTGGCCCGCGCCGGCTCGTCGGACCCGACCGACCCGACCGGGGGGGGGGGGGGGGACTGCACACACGCCGTCGGAGGCGGCGCCGCCGGCAGGGGCTGACGGGGGGAGGGGGGGGGATACTGACAATAACATGTACTGATGCGCTTCCCCAGCATTACCAAAGGGGTGAGCTAGTGGGCAACGAGCGACGGTGAGCTTACAAAGTGTCAGAATAGGGATCAAGTGGGACGGTGTAAAACGTTTTAGTCCAATGAAAAATGTATAACAAGTTGTGCCTCACTGTTCCATAAAATGAGGTAGTTCCTCCTTCCATTGGCCTATCAATATCAATTCCGTCAGCGCATATCACGGGTGTTTTAAAATTCACCAAGCGCCCTCCGTCCTCAATGCATTTGCATGCATAACGGAATAGCAGGAATGGCGAAGAACGCCACGGACCACAAACGCGTTGAAACAGTAGCACCAGGGCTAGCTTTACTCGAAACGCTGTGTCCAAGTAAAGCAACTTCTCCACTAGCAGGCCACATTAGGGTTTTACGGCACTACCGCTAGACGTGTTGGCATCTACTGAATGGATCGTAGACGGGAGATTCAAAACTATACAAATATAACTGTCGTGGGAGCATTGTGGAGCTTGCATGTGTGTCAAAGAGCATCACTTTATTACGCTCAATCATGTTTCGAGTTGTTCTGCCTTTAGTTTAGCCTGCATCCAAACATACGAGTACAGCCTTTAGTGATCCATCTCCCCCCCCCCCCGAGTACATGCTATCATTGCCGAGTCTCTGTACACTTCCCCGCTGTAGCTTAATGTATACCTACTCGTTCGCTGCCAAGGGAAGAATTATGATTATCTTTATAGGTTTAGTTGACAACGAAATGGGAGGTAAAAAGGCTTTTGCGTTTTCGTGATGTGGAATACCCAAGATTTTATCACTTACACTGTCCTAAAATTCCATGGCAAAACTTGGATAACGAACTGAGATGAACATGCATCATATATGCAGAAAACTCGAGCAAATTTCGTTATCACTCTCGTGTAGGACTCATTTGCTGGCATTGACCTCTTTCGAAATCATCCGTACCATGCGGATATTCCATGTATCAAAGAGTGGTTTAAGTTGGCGTTAATTTGAAGAACACGGCTGGCGTTTCGCAACCCTTAATGTGTCATGTTTACGTTAATGATGCGTTGGTAGATAGTTATATAGGTTAGATTATGCAACGATTTCACCGTTTAAGCAGCGCCTCGAGCCAGCCAGGGTAATCCCGTTACGTCGGTGACATGTCTCCGTCACACTCGTGGCAGGGATCTTATCGTTTGCAACACGAGTTCGATTAACGATCCAAGTTATCAAAGGCATTTGTCTGTGTTTTAAAGGGGAAAAAGCTGATTATCTCAAATATGTCAGAAGTTTAACTCTCGTCCGGCCGGGGAAGGGGGTGGCGTAGTGGTGTCAATTACGGAAAATCGGAATACCGATACCAAACCAAATACCAACCAAAGCCATGGAGAAATACCGAAACCAAACCAACTTGGGAAAATGAGGAAAATACCAACTTTTTACCGATTTCTTAGCCTCTTATACATAAGTGAGGGTTCATGATACCAACAAAATACCAAACCCATTACGATTGAAATACCAAATACCAAGTTGGTATCGGTTTGGTACCGGTATACGAAAAAGTTGGTATCCGATTGACATCTCTAGGGTGGCGCTACCCGCCCATCTACCCAGACTTCTTGGAAATAGCGTAAAAACGGCGGTGAGGCGCAGCCAAGTTAGGAATATACGGTTTTCATTTGGCACATTTCCTAAAAAAAACGAAGTCCAGGCCATTTCAGGTCAGTTCACCACGTCAAACAAAAAAAAAAAACAAAAAAAAAACGGATACATAGTGTAAAATTGGAACAACTTAGAGGCAAGGGAATAAGAAATTCATAGATGGCAAAAAAAGGAGAGGCAGCATCCTATTTGGAAAACTTTATAACGCAGCAGTTATACAAATTCTAAAGTTTGGCGAAAAAGGCAAGAGTGGCACCAAGCCCCTCGTCCTGAGGACAGTTATTAGAGCGAGTGTCTTGAAAATGTCCTTTGGATGAAGAACAAATTAAATCGAGGCAAGAACAGAAAGTGCAAGTTATTCACAACCAGACATTACGGGTGATGTTTGGCAACGGCGGACTTTTCGCCCAAGTTTGACTGGAGAAATTCGAGCTGGCCGGTCCGGCGGGGCGGATCAAATTTCCCTCTCCGTCGGCTCGACAGTCCGGCCCAGACCTCCGTGCATAGTCACTGGCCGAGGCAGAGCGGCTTATAGTTCCTAGGACGGCGGACCCGGCGGCTGAGCCCCGATTCCGTCTTGTTCTCGCGTCAACACCAGGCAGGTCAAGTTTTACCGACCGGGGCGCGGCCCGGCGCCGGCGGCCACCTCCGCCTCGGCCCGGCCACTTTCAGTTTCAGACAAATCGCATTTCAACGCAATCATCTCATTTTGAATGCTGATGCTGTTCAGCACGTGTGCGGGTGCTTTGTGCACAAATTCGATTGCAAACTCCGCACTTTGCTGGGGAGGCGTTCCAACTATTCCCATAAGGTTTTTCTAAAATAACTCTGAAATCAACAGCGCTACGCAGTTACCTGACCTATCACCTCAAGAGAAAAGAAAATGCTCGTTCTTGCTACACAGCCGACACCATGGTGGTGAAACTTTCAACCATTGATAACGAAAAATATGAAACGGTTACCTAACCTTTTTTATTTTGGAAACCCAGTGTTGGGTGGTCAACCTTGAGACTTCCACAATTTACAATACGATTCAATGGGAGGAAATGAAAGGATGCCCCTTACGGATCAAAGAGTCTTCACTCACTCCAATATCGTGCATTAGGAGACCATTAAATTTTCAACTGAAACGTTCATCCGTGACCCCACACACGAAAGAGCATGGAAAAGTATGTGCAAAACCGACTATGTCCTTCCTGAGCCCTGGAAGAGGCTATCGCTACTAGCCCTGATGCTTTGAGTTCAATGGACACTAAGCAATGCAAGGACATACAACTGACAGCCGCCGCGATTTCGACGTGGGCGAGGTCAAATGATACTACGCAGGGCTATAAATGTCCAGCTCCTGGGATGCAAGGTAAGATGTTGCAATACAAACAAGAAAAAACGTGAAAAGCAGGTATGAGGTAGGATTGACGAAACAAACTTGCTATATGCAAAGAATGGCCATATAAGAAAACGCACATTATGCAAAGATGGGATTAATATTTGCATAAGAGCATAAAGACGGTAAAGCGAGGATCATATGTTGCGCAATAAGAGGGCACCACACAAACACATTTTAGTACTGTAGCTGCTAGAAAAGTACTATCAACATCGCTACCTGATGCGTATTGCGCCCAAGCTATAAAGAGCTTATAAAGTAAATAGTTTAGCTGAACACGAGTTTTCCACCTGTCCCCGGACTGGAAAGAGCACTCGGAGTTTACCGAGGGGAGCGTTCCGCAGAGGCTCCATGGGTTTTCGCCCCCCCCCTATTGCACAGTGGGGATTTTTCCGATCTAGCGCCTCTTAATTTAAAAAATCTTTTTTTGGATTTTTGTTTATTTTTTGTGTCAGTGGGGCTAAGAAATGTCTGAATTTTTCATATATGGCATTGTTTTATCTGTATGTCCACAGCAAAACTAGGAAAAATGCGCCCAAAGTTCACACTCATGCGTGATTACTCAATGGGCTCAGCAAGGCCCGAAAGTATAGCTCAATTTCATTGTCCTGTCCTGTTGGTTTTAATCTTGCGAGGTCTTAAAGTTGCATATCGTCTGAAAGGCACCTTTATTAGGAATGGAATGGCAAACAGAAAGTATGCCACAACCTTACTAAGGTCACAAAAATGCCCTTTACAAAAACCCTTACAGACACCATATTGAAGGAATGGTATTCTAAATAAATGTAGGAAATCAACAATGTTCTCCACACTTTTCCACTCCGAAATATATCCTATCGAATTCGCCACTTTCTCCTGCACAAGGCAACGCCTAGTTTGGCTGCCGAAACTTGCCTGAACACGGAATATTCACATTAGAGTATCTTAACACCCCACTCGAGGAGCGCTAGGGCAAACAGCACGATATAGGTATGTTCCGGAAATAGGCGAATAATTTTACTTCGTGATTTATATGATGCATATTTTCTGAGACACATTCATTAGGAATAGGATGACAAGCGTAAATTATACATACCGTAACCTTATTAACCATCGCACTTGTGGGGAGGGGGAGAGGGAAGGGGTCGGATAAAACCCCATGGTTTTCCGCAAATTACTCGCGCAAAAAGCGGCCGATCGCGCCGAAACTTTCGGTGCCCTCGAGATCATCAATTTTACATCTAACCTAAAAACTTCATGACTCTGACCCAACTGACCTTTGACCTGTGGCATGTTTCTCGAGACCATGTTTGGCCGGAATCGCGATTCGGCGTATGCCAGCTCACATTATCCGCGGTTTCCAGTCTATTTGTGGTTTTAAACGTTCAAATATGTGAAATGATGTTGGTGCCATGCATAATGGTGGGTGTCAAGGTCACGTGAAGGTCAAGTCAAGGTCATTGACCTTTTGATGACCTTGGTTCACTTTTTCGAGTTTTACTTGTTTATAGGGTAGTTTTTGGTGCTGATTTCGATTTTAGCAGCCATTTGAATATTTACGAAGTAGTTCTGGTGCCTTCGTTCCATGTTACGAAGCCATCAGTAGTAGGTGACACTTCTATGGATGGCGGGCAGGACGCCTACTAGTTGATCTAACCTGACCTGACCCGACCTGGCCTAAATGCATAAAGACATCGTCTGTGATCAAAACTAACATGAAATTCGTGATCAGCACCCCAAAATACCCCGTAACACCCTAACTTTGCGAAGTTTCAAGAGGTCTCGATTTCCCAGCTTTAGTTGGGTCATTAAACTGACTTGGAAAGTCAGCTT